TGGCTTCACTGCGGCTTTTGGCGGCTACTTGGCGGTTTTGCGTTGTGGCCTTGCCTTTGATTTGCGCCAGTACTTTTATGCAAAATTCCTGTATACTTGCAAGAACAATGAAGCCTATTGTGCAGAAGCAAAAACTTTTTTTATAAATTAGGAATTCGCAAAACCCCTTATGAGGTGCTACTAATCAAAAATCAAGCAAAATCTAGTTGGAGGCGTTGAGACATTGTATTTTGCCCTCAAATGGTCACGCTTCCAATGCTGGGTCTTAATGTATTCAAAGGTAAACATATGCCTAACTGAGGGCGCAATAGACCCAACGTTGCAAAGCACATCCTCAGTTATATAGGCCTATCAGCGCTTTTTGTGTGTTTTGGACATGCTGATGGGTATTCCTACGTTCAGCCTTTCTTAAATTTGTTTTTATATTATTCTTTAAAAAAAAAAAAAACATAATCGTTCAGCTAACCGCCCGAAGTCTGAAGTTTTCCACGACACGACTTTTGCATTGCCCAACTTTGTTGCGGCAAAATTGCATTGCTCTCACTTTTCCTTTTGAGAAATTATAAAATCAAGAATTATTCACCAACACCCTCGAAGTCTGAAAGTTGTTTGCTGCCTTAAAATTCCCCAGCCAACTTTCTCGTTCCTACGGCACAACTGTGAACACAATCGCTATGCAGCAGCCAGCAAGTTTCGCAATCAAGCATTACTTCGCCCATGCCATTCCCTCTGCTCTTTTAACCAAGTAATATAAAAGTCTATTTAAGTTTCCCCAACTTAACCGCATAGGATGCTGATTAAAAACAAAAACAGAAAAATCCGTATTTGCTTCAAAATTAAGTTAAAAAAAAAACACTCCATAAGTGGCAAATGCCACACATTCTCAGTTGCTCTTACGCTCGAAAGGGTTAAAAAGTTGCTACGCCTTCGCAAAGAATTATGCCAGTCTCGCACTTTTCGCTGCCACTTGTAGGAACTTTTTATGCTTGCGCTTTGCTTTTAACTTTCCTTTGCTGCTTCTTTCTGTGTTGGTTTTTTTTTTCTTACTTTCAGCTTTTTTTTCAACGCATTTTTATTCGCCTTCTTTCGATTTCTTTCGTTTGTCATCAAATTGCCTAAAGTCTTTGCAATCAACAACGCATCGCGCCGTTTCACCGCATTGCGGGTCTTTCCCCCTCTACCCCAGTTTCATAGGCATATAATCGCTCATCAGTTGCATGAAAATTTTATGAGCTCGCCACTTTATCGTAATTGAAAAATTTGATCTTCCAAAAGGCTTTGAGGCTTTTCAAAAAGTTATTGCAACAAAGTTTTTTTTTGGTTCTTTAACTTTTTTTATTCTGAGTTGTATGAAGGAATGGAAGGAAGCTAAAGCATTGTAAACTATGAGGAAATGAGAAAAGCAAGTGAAAAATTATGCTGAAAGTATACATATGTACATAAATACCACTTAAAGAATTTCAAATTTATCTTGAAAATCATTAAGTATATTTTTCAAAAATATTGCAACAATAAAAAAATTACAAATAATAATAATACCAAAATAATAACATTTTGGAGCTTCGAAGGTTTGTCATTGCCTACCGGGGGGTGAAAACAGGAATTTAAGCTTGGTCTAACACTTGTCCATCTATGTATGTACATACATGTGTACATCTTCTTCTTCTTCTTATTTGGCACTGCAACCAATTTTGGCCGAGCACAAAAAAATTCGCCAGTTGCGCCTCTTTTTTTGCGAGATTGCGACAGTTGTACATCCAGAGTGCAGAGAGGTCCTTCTGCACTTTTTTCTGCCTAAACCCAAAAACTGTCAGTGTGAGACTTTAACCCGCTGAACCTCTCACCGTCTACGTACCAATCCCCGTTAGGCACTAAGCTCCGTTAATGTTCGCATGATTCCAACCGCCCTTTGTCTTGGTCGATATTAGGGATGAGGCGATGTGTCCACCTGCCTTTTGTTGCGCTATCCCACCACGCTTGTCATTGCGATATGCTGTTTTGTCTTAATAAAGAGGTGCGAATTTCGTGCTCCTTGCGCTTAGCTTTTCTTGTTGCAACTGATTCCTGTGCCAAGAGGTCAAGTGGAAGCATGCCGCAGATGACAAGTGCTGCGTCTTCCGAAACAGTTCTGTATGCATAGCATACTCTTAGCGCATATAGACGATAAGTTGCGTTCATAGCCTGAACATACGATGATCATTTAAATGCGTCGAACCAGATTGTAGCTTCGTACAAAAGTATAGATCTAACTACTCCGGCTATTACTAGTCCGGACTGCTGCTTCAGTCCCCCAACGTTGGCCATCAGTTTGGACAAAGATGACGTCGCTCTCGCCACCTTCTCGTTAACGCAGTTGAGATGATTTGGGAAGCAAAGGGGATGGTCTATTAATACCCCGAGGTATTTTACGTAGAGTTTTGATGCGCTTGGTCCATTGTGTTCGTGGGCGCCCTTTCGTTTGGGTGCCGAGTCGTAGGATATTTTCACCGAGCCTCGTCATTCGTGCGACAATATGGCCAAGCCAGCGCCATCATTGCATCTTTTGCGGTACTTGTCGCCCACTCGAACATCAACAAAGATCTTGTGTAGAATAACTCTCTCGAAAGCCCCCAAAGCCTTCTCAGTTTTGTTCGTGCTTTGACATTTGTAGAGCGTAACGCTTGTTCGTCGAGAAAGGGCTATGTCTTTCAATTGCTTACCGCACTCAAAGTTGCACGTGTTGGTAGTAGTTATTCTTAGTTTGATCTCCGGGCAGAAATTGTTGGTGGTGTTTAAGCTGGATCCTAGGTAGACAAAGTCCTTCACGTTCCCCCGACAGTACGTAACCGGAACGATCCTAATGTATATCTGGCCAAGGACTGTCGCTCTCAGCATCACTCCCCGAAAACTCTTTGTGGAATTTCAGAATCCTTCACCATTTCAAAGTTATAACTGCCAATTGCAACGAATGTCCGACAACCCCAGATACTTTGTGTAGTCCTCGTTCACCGCTAGACCAACCTATTCGGCTTCTTTTTCTAAAATGGAAAATGCTACGCTAATGTTCCTGGTTGCAAGGCCGACGATGGCGAAATCATCAGCTTACGTCAGTAGCGCCATGCTTTTGCTGTATTAACCTCGTTTGGTCTCAAACGGCGCGAAGAAGTCCTTCCTAATTTGAGCGAAGCTGAGTGTTCTACACCACGTCACTCTGCATACAGACAGCTTCTCTTCGTGCTATTGAAAGCGGGAGTGTATTATCAAAGATTTTACGAACTGTGAAAATCTGGTCGATAGTGGATTTGCCAGGTCTGAAGCCGCACTGGAAAGTTCCAATCAGTTGGTGCGTGAAGGGCTTCAGTCTTCCACGTAGTATCGTTGGAATAAAAGCGCAGACGTCGGCATATCCCTTCTTATGGATTGGACAAAGTGCACTGAGATTCCAATCTTCGGGAATGTATTCCAAATTCTGCTTAAAAGCTGGTGCATGCGCTAGGCTGATTAAGTCGACCTAAAAGAAGAAGAAGAAATAAACGCATTTTACTGAAAAAATACACTGCCGGCAAAAACTTTTGGCACAGCAAATTTTTCACAATTTTTTCTAATATTTTTCCGCCAATTTTTGTAAAAATATGGTTCATTCTACAACAAAAAAAAAATAAAAAATATAATTCCTAAACTTTGTGCAAAACTCGCGGAAATTCAGCAAATTTTTATACAAATTTTCAACTTGTTAATCAGATTTTTAGAATTTTTCATGCAAATTTTCAACTTTTAATCAGATTTCTTAGAATTTTTTTGAGTATGCAGTTATGCAGCCCTAGTAAAAAAATGCACGTTCGGAGTTAGTCAAAAATCGCATTAATTTTTTAGATTTGTTTGTTTGCTGAAGGTGTTTTGCATTTTTTCTATATAAAGTACTTTCAAAAAAAAATATATATATTTTGTATGGAGGAGACTGCGTGAAAAAAATTGCCAAAAAATCAACGTAATTCCTAGCTACTTCCAACTTGCACTTTATTGCACTTTATTAAAAAATTTATTGTGCTCTTAATCTGCATACTTAAAAAAATCTGATTAAAAAGTTGAAAATTTGCATGAAAAATTTGCAGAATTTTCGTGAGTTTTGCACAAAGTTTAGGAATTATATTTGTATGTTTTTTGTTGTAGAATGAATCATATTTTTTATAAAAAAATTGGCGGAAAAATATTAAATAAAAAAATTTTCCATATATTGTGAAAGATTTGCTGTGCCAATACTTTTTGCCGGCAGTGTACATATATTTTCCTCAATAGGCCACTAGTCTATCAAGCTGCTCTCGTACATTTGCATAAAAATTTAATCGGAAATCAAAAACAACAAAAACAGAAGATCTAACAACGCTCCACTCACGCTCCACCGCACAACATCTCTTCAGCGGGTTTGTTTGAGTTTCACGCAACTTTTAACCAACTTTCAATTTTGCCTTCCTCTTACGAGTCTTCCATTTTTCGATGCGAGTATTGGGATTTGTTGCCTTTTGCTGATTTAGCACGCACACACTTTCGCATTAAGCATACCCGCGCGCAAACTTTTCAAGTCAATCAAGCTGCTGGAAAAGCTTCCAGCGAAACGAGATGCAAATGTGGCAAAAATACTCGCACAAAATCAATTCAAGCGTATAATTGCGATAATCTGCTTTTAAGTAGTTAAATAAATAAAGTTAATTTGAATCAGATGAAAATACGTTTAGGGAAAAGAGGTTCACGGCTCAGTTGAGAAGGCAGAAATTGGGAGTAAAGTTCTTAAAGGAGTGTGGAAAATGTTAAAAGAATTGTGTAGCTGCTTGGGATTGAAATAAAATTTAAAGCCAATATCTTGATCTGTATTAAATATTCTCTTATCTGCCGGCGGGCTTTATAGTATATGTATGTATGTATATTCTTGTTAAGTCAATGCATCATATTCCTTAAATATCAACTAACTTTCATTTTCGAAACCAATTTCTACTTCCTTATAACGATTTCCTACCTCTTTCTAGCCGTTCAGCATGAGCGTGGCCCCCGCAAGCCAAAGCTACATCCACAGCTGCACCACCATCATCCCCACCATCCGCATCATCATCATCACCATCATCACAATGGTTTGGCGGCGCATCATGCTCATCACCATCCCGGCCACCATTTGCCCGTCTCGCTGGTGACCAATGTGTCAGCCTCCTTCAATTACACATCGCACATTTCCACCCACCCTGTGCAGGGTTTCCAACCACCAGCACACCCAACCGCCTTCCATCATCCCGGACATGCGCTGGTGCAACATAATGCTTTGCAAAATGGCGTACCGCCACATCCACCATTGCACTTTCCGCCACATCTGCTGCCGCACATGCATCACAATCTCATCGCAGAGGCCACGAGCAAGTTGCCAAGCATGTCGTCAACAGCGACAGCTTCTACCGCTGCCACCATTGTAGGTGCGGTAAGCGCTGCGGCGACTGTCGCTCCACATCCACCGCCACCCAAGCATATGCCATTGTCGCTTACGACAGCGGGCAACGGCAGCAATGTTTTGCCCACTTATGACCTGACAAACAGCGGCGGCTCCTCGGGTGCACCCAGCGGCGGTGCTGCTAGCACCACAAGCCTAGAATTCTACGCCAAGTCAACGATGACCACACACAATTACTCCTCACCCTCACCCACGCCATCCATACAATCCATTTCGAGTATTGGCGGCCGTAGTTCGTTGGGCAGCGAGAGTCCGCGCGTAAATGTGGAGACAGAAACACCTTCGGCCACACCGCCTGTCTCGGCGAGCGCCTCACCGGTGCCCTCACTGACGGACACCAATGCCACCGGCGGCCCAGCTTCACCGATTATCAACATTAATGGCAATAGCAACAATAACAATAGTGACGCGTTGGACAACAACAACGAGAACAGCATAAACAATCATAATTGCAAGCAGAGCAGTGGTGGCAGCAGCTTGGGTGCCAGCAGTGGTACACCATCGCGCTCGACACCACTGTCCAGCCACTCGCCACCGGCTAACCAGAGTGGCAGTGCCGGTGTTTCAACAAATTCAAGCTCGTCAGCTGCGGCTGCCGCTAGCCAGGCGGCAGCGCTTTATGCTGCCCGCCAAAATGGTTTTCTCGAATTGTTGCTCAGTCCGGACAAGTGCCAGGAGATCATACAGTATCAGGTGCACAATTCGATACTCTTCCCGGCGCTGCCACAGCAATTAATCGGCGTCGATTCGCGGCTACTATCGTGGGAAATGCTGCAAGAGACAACTGCACGTTTGCTTTTCATGGCTGTGCGGTGGGTTAAGTGTTTGATGCCCTTCCAGACGCTCACCAAGAACGACCAACATTTGCTGCTGCAGGTGAGTTTACTCGCATTTTTCTTTAACTTTTTTGTTCAATTGTTAAGATGTAACGGGGTAATGTGTCTTAGCAAAGAGCGGATATCTTGATATTCTTTATTACAAAATTAAGTAGATAAACGGGCTCCTTAGCGAACTTTAACTTCGTGATGTAATCGCATGGGTTCCCGCATTGTCAGCTTAACGAACATCTTCGACGGTCTGCAGCAGGCATGAACGACCGTGCGACCTTTCATGCCAAGATTTTCAATCACCGATGGCTCTGCTGACTTGAAGCTAATCTGTGTGAGCGGTTAGTAGGTTGTCCAGAGACACGGCGTCGAGGGAGGCGTAACCGCTCAAACCAAGCACATTCTTAGTCTACTTGTGAAGCGATCTTGAGACAGTCTTGCTGGCGTTCTCTACGGGTGCGCCACAGAGCATAGCGTCAAAGACTGGAGTAAGTGTGTTACCCAAGGGGTCATTTGGGTGTCGTAAACCATTTATAAATGATCTTGTTGTAAAACTGATAGACTCAATGCTGAAACCTGACCTTTACAAAGCCCTACAAGATAGTAATACCTGAAAGGGATACCTGTAAAGCGCGAATCGGCATGTGGGACGGCGTATATGGACCTAGATTAAAAAAAAATCGTCCCGTTGGGCATATACCCAAAAAAAAAAATGTACTGGTGAAACTAGGGGCCAGTAACAGAGTAACCCTGTGTTGGGTTCCGGGTCATGAGCGAGTTTCGATGGCAACGAAAGGACTGACACTCTAGCGAAATGCGGTGCCTCAGCCTTTCTTTGGACCATCTAGAGGATGCACAGCAGAGCTCCTAAGGGGATGGGAGGACTCGCAAGTTACAACCCAATGGCGCACGGCAAAGGGCAAAAGGCAGTCCAAAAGATTCATAACTCCTTCTCGAGGAATCTCCGAGCGGCTGCTAAATCTTAGTAGAGAGGGTTTAAGAACTCTCACCTGATACCTGCCAGGACACTGAGGGATGAGATACCATCTGCACAAAATGTGACTCTCTGAGGAGACGAACTGCAGGTTTGAAACCTCGGAGTATATACTTATATACCTTGAAGAACGACTATCATCTTAATCCAGAATCTGAAACATGAAACCCTCCAAAGTTCTTAATTTCATTAATAACCTAAGGTTGGAGAGACTTGATAAGGCGTAGCACAATAGATCTAGCTGGGTCGCAGCGCTATATATGCCCCAATAATAATAATAATAAGTGTGTAAAGAATTGCGTTTCTGATTTTATTAAGGACAGCTCGGGCACACACTCTAAACTACTGTAATATTTTTTAGCGAATTGCAGCATGGAGTGATCCCAAGCTTATTTTGCGTGAGATGTCCCATCGCGGTACAGAGTAACTAATGTCGTTTACATGTGATCCACATTATTTGGCCTCTTTCTTTCCAGAATTATTTACGACCAAATACTTGACACTGTCAGGGCAGAGAAGTGCCGAATATAGGAATAGATCCGTCTTACTATGATTAGGTACTCAAATAAGACTGGCTATCTTTGCCTTTCGAGTAGGAGTGTTGCGAAAACGACAACCGCTCTGGTGGAAACCTACCGATCAATCAAACTTTCCAGCGCCTTTAAAACGATAGAATAGCTTATTAAACTCGTTAATGCGCCGAGACTTCTTTCCACCCTTGTATAACCCCTACCTAAGAAGCTGATATCGATAAGGGCAAACCAATCAGAGGATAACTCCTGAAATCAAACAGTTGTGCATGCATGCAAGAGACCTGTTCCAGCTTTGCCTGTATAAAGTTCCCGTTTTCTAATATATAGTCTTATCAATTAATTGCGTAATGTCTTGTTTTAGCAGCCATTTAAATAACTTTCTTTCTCACACCCACGCTGCCGCAGGAATCCTGGAAGGAGTTATTCCTCCTCAATCTCGCCCAATGGACAATTCCACTCGATCTCACGCCCATCCTCGAATCACCACTCATCAAAGAGCGCGTGCTCCAAGACGAAGCCACCCAGATAGAGATGAAAACCATACAGGAGATACTCTGCCGTTTCCGCCAAATCGCGCCCGACGGCAGTGAGGTCGGCTGCATGAAAGCCATCGCGCTCTTCGCACCCGAAACGGCTGGCCTCTGCGATGTGCAACCGGTAGAGATGTTGCAAGATCAAGCGCAATGCATACTCTCCGATCATGTGCGGCTACGCTACCCACGACAAGCGACGCGCTTCGGACGTCTACTGCTGCTGCTGCCCTCACTACGTACCATACGTGCAGCTACCATTGAGGCGCTCTTCTTCAAGGAGACCATTGGCAATGTGCCCATAGCGCGACTCTTGCGGGATATGTATTCAATGGAGCCGGCGCAGGTGGACAAGTGAAGTGCAATGCGACGCATTGGAAATTAAAGTGAAAATAAAATGCGAAAAATTATTATTGTTTGAGTGTATAAGGCATACATGCATATGTGTGCAGAGAGGGAAAAAACTAAAATTGCAAGCATTTAGTTGTAATATGAAAATATATACATGCATAAGCAAGGGCCTAAGCATGAAGCAGCCAAGCGAAAGTGGACGTTGAGGTTGGTGAAGTGAACGTAGAGGAGGGTGGCGGCTCGTGCGACAGCTAATGCCAGTGCTGCTGCTCCTACCGGTATTTAATGCTTGCAGTTAATGTTGTTGCAGTCAGCATTGACGTGCGTGTGTGTGCATGCGAGTTGGCGCGCAGCTGACGGAATTCACAGCGCCTCCGCTTACGTGCCACCGCTGCGCTGCTGATTCTTCTTCTTCGTACAAAGGTGACAGTATTATGGCATGAACGGCCATCATCGTTTGCCGTTGTCAATGGTGTTCTTTTCTAATATCGCAGCGTCGCATTGCCAAGCATTCTGCAATTGAGTTAATACATACATTTGCGCTCATATGTGTGTGTGTGTGTAAAGGCATAACGGCAAAATAAAAATTCCAGTTAGAAATAAATACTTGTGTGTGTGTGTGTGTGTGTGTATTTGTGTTGGCGCGCGGGTGCTAGCAAATGATTTATTCCGCTGGCAATTTCTTTATTTATTTTCCATTCGACATTTTGCCCGCGAACCTCGTCATTCCCGTCCTGCTTTCTGTTACTCTCATTCAGTGCTAAATCTTATATTATTTTTTTGCATTTTTTTTTTTCTATTTTTGATATCATCATATCACATCTCACCTGTGCCACCCACCAAAGCTTTCAGCTACAATATTACCCAGCACTGATGCTGATTGCTTGCTTCTAATTTTGTTTTTTTTTTTTTTTGTTCATTCCTGCCAATATCCGTCGGCTATTTGTGCTCAATCTCGCTTTGGAAAAATGTATGGACTCTACATTTGATATTTTAAATTTATGATTTTTCCCATCTTCCTCACTTGCCGCCACCTGCCGCAGCACTGCGCCAACTTGCGCTGAGCCGTTATGCGCATCGCATTTCATTGCGAGTTTAGAAGTAATGAAAAAATAACTTTGCCGCCGGCGTTTCTAAATTCAATTCAATTGGACACTCCAACGGCAGCGCAAATGTAAAAACAGTTAGTCAGAAAAAATATGGATGAAAAAATAAAAATACAAATTGCAGTTGAAATAAATTGTGTAAAATTTTGCTACACCTCACACAGCTGCGCGCAATTGTAATAGCTTGTCGATTTATATGAAGCTGATTTCGTTTTTTTTTTTTAATGTAACTGTTTTAATGATTTTTAGGCCATCAAAAATCAGCTTTTTTCTTCTTTATATGCACACAGAATTCGCATATTTTTTCAAACACCTAAAATTGCATTTTGGCACCAAAAATGTTAAATATGAAGGTTATAAAATTAAATGTTAACGCTAGAGTTGTTATTTTAATGCATCAAGAAATATGGTGCACACTTAAAAAATGACGAAAGGTATCAAAAAACGCAAAATCAAAAATATTTAATAATAAAAATAAATAATGTGAAGTAGCGATAGTTCGCTGTGGACCATATAAACTTGTAAACTACTATGTACAAACTGAAAAACTATGACTAGAAAATTATAATATTTTTATTTAATTTAATTTAACAACCTGCCGTAAGGAATAGTCGTTTTGTCTGAGCCACATTAAAATGTTTTTTTTTTTTCGAGTGATATTCCGAGGTTTGCGATTGTCGTCGCTTCAGATTCTTTGTCATACCTTTAGCATGGAACAGTAACGACAGAAAAATAGCCCGCATCGTGCAAAGCGTTTAAAAGCTTTCACTACAAAGTAAAAGTATTCGCTGGCCGTCGCTGCTCTGAATATCGTTGAATGTGATAATATTTAGAGTTCAAGATTTCGCGCAATCGTCAACTATCCAGCATAACCAATAAATCTCCCAAAAGTGTGTATCTGTCGCAATCGTCTAGGACCTCGAAGCAGCCAAGACGAAGACATGTCATGAATAAAACCGAACCGAATAAAAGCACATTTTATTGGCCATTGTTTCATATGCTCACAAAGTACGAGCACTCTCTCGTCGTCATTGCTCTAAAACAGCGATGGACAGAGAGAGCTTTTACTCTGCATGCGCCTATACAAAATACATATATAGAAAGCTTAAAAGAGCTGTGCCCGCGGATAAGGTGATGCCCATCACCACTCTAAAAGCACAGAGCTTTTTCAAGCTTGTTATACATTTTATAAAAATGGGCCCGGATCGGTGGTGGCCATCAGCTTGCCCGCGGACAAAGCTCTGCAAAGCTTTCTATACAAAATGTATACAAACCTTGAATGAGCTTTGCCCACGGACAGGCGGTACCGGACCACCGACGTAGAGTGAAAGCTTTATCGGATTGCCACTGTTCTAAGCCAGTGTTGGATACAGTAATCTTTTAAAAGGGTACAGAGTGCGTTTGAATCAGCGACGGTCAGAGAGAGCTTTTACTCTGTTCACGTCTATACAAAATATATAGAAAGCTTAAAAGAGCTTTGCCCGTGGGCAAGGCGTTGCCCATCCGTGGTTTAAATGCTTTGGCACGCGTGTCCATGATGTAGCCAACCCAACAACTTAAAGGAAATTAAAGTAAAGATAGGAAAGGATTGTAGAAATTTGAAAACTTTTAAATTCTTGTTTCAATTTAATTTTTGCTTCAAATTAGCAAACGATAATTCAGATTATATTCTAAGTAGCTACTAGACAAATAAATAATAAAACAATAATTGCATAGTTAATATATAAATTTGTTTATCCTAAATGTGAATGAATAGTTATATACTTATAGAGAACTAAAAGTTATTTTTAAGTCAAATATAGACCCATACTTGTAAATGCATATATGTATAAAAAAAAAAAAAATATGTCATATTCTTCATTATGCAGTTAGTAGAGTTATGCATACATATCTATAATCATCATGTAAAGTTGTTTAATGGTCGGTAAATTCTACCTTAATAAAATGCTTAAGTAAAATTAAAATTAGCCTTTTATTCATTTGTTATTTACGAGTCCGTGGGATGAGTCTCAAGACAATGATTAATATCAAAAATTGTTTGCTTTGTATTTCCAAATTGTTTGCGTTATTTTTTATTCTTTTGAAAGCCAGTTACTTCATAATTTTTGTTATTTACTTTTGAGCGAAAAAATAGTAACGCGTAAACACCTCGTAACCTCGTAAATAACGGTGTTCCATGCAAAATTAATTAAGTTAAATGAGGTTTAGGTGGTTACGAAGCGTTTACGTGTTTAGATGAATTATCCTAGTAAGAAAAATTAGTTTTTTTTTTCAATCTTTTACCTATGTATATATTTTCATTATTTTTCTTTATTTGTAACGATTATACATTTAATTTTTACTTTCCTTTTCTTTTCGTTTTAGTTTTGTTTTTCGGTTCAAGGTGAATTTTTATTTAAAACATTTCATCATCATCAAATAGACCACAATTTCAAAAGGAGCTAAACGGAAATATTCAAGCGGTAAGTGTTTAAAATGTATACTAATTTATACATAGTTACCATTTTGTAGGCGAGTGGCAAAAGAGTGCTCTTAAGTATATGTAAATACTTCGCCAGATCTCATTAAATGTAGCCAATTTTTTCTTCTCTACTCTGCAAGGCTTATTTACATGGTCGCTTACAGTTCTATCAAGTTTTTTTCACAACCACTGCTGCCTAGCCGCTATTTTACAAAGTGCTCTGACTTACAAAAAATTCCACTTAGAGCATAAAGCCTTTGACACGCGGAAAATTGACCATTCGCTACACTATTTTTCATTTTTACCGTAGACCACATAACCAAAAATACCACGTAAACACATAACCGGGGTAATTTGCAATGCCTTTTCTTTGACGGATTGAGTGCTGCAAAAGACGAGGCGTACATTATTTTCTTCTTTTTGTTACCATTGTAGACGATGGAGAAGATCCATTATCTGAGGACGGGGAAGAGCAGGGGCCCAATGTAAGGGATGTCAAATATCTGAAGTGGAAGTGCTTCCTGCAAATGTAGAATTAGAAGCAGCCTTTATAGACAGTGAGTCAGTTGACGAAGATTAATTAATTAATTAATCCCAACGGCTTTTTACCCTCCATTCCCGCCCAACCGACACGAGGGGTGCAGTCCGCATGACGTACGGAACCTTTTTTTTTCTTTTTTTTAGTTTTTTCGTGCCGAGTAGTGGAAACAGGAGTTTGTTAAGTGTCGAGATCTAAAACTATTCAGCTACAGAATCAAATTCATCAGCTGATTGGATATGCTAAAGATAGTATTTCAATTATTGAGAGTGGAAATAATAGTTTTCTTTATAGTAAAAATCGAGTCCGATACGTCAAACGTGCTGGAATGACAGTTAAAATCTTGACATAAACCACGGAATGATTCGTTTAGTTCAAAATTAGTTTTGCATGGCTTTAAAAATAGAGGTCGAAAGTGTCTTGACATTCGAGAAGGAACATTAAAATTTACCTCAGCCAGGAGGGCCGGGCTATTAATCAAGCCTGTCATTAATTTTACGATAAATATTATACCCAGCATTTCTCTACGACTTGCGAGTGTAGGCAAATTTATGAGCTTTAGACGACTTGTGTAAGGGGGGAGATTGTAATCTGAATCCCAATTAAAATTACGCAATGCAAAAAGCAAAAATTGTTTTTGAATTGATTCAATCCTTTCTGAATGAACTTGGTAGCGGGGATTCCAAACAATAGATCCGTATTCTAGTATAGGTCTAACTAAACTGGTAAAAAGAGCTTTTGTAACATAAGGATCTTTGAACTCTTTTGACCATCGCCTTACAAATGCAAAAACGCCTTTGGCTTTATTGACTGTAACATTAATATGATGGTTGAAATTCAGTTTGGAATCCATTGTGATACCAAGATCGACAAAATTGGATACCTGCTCCAGATTATAATTTGATATTGAATAAACAGCTGGTTGAACAGCCCTCCGAGAGAAACACATAACTTTACATTTTTGAAGGTTTAGTGGCATATAGTTTGTATTACACCAACTAACCACGTTGTTCAGATCCGCTTGTAACAAAGACCTTTCTTCGATAGAGGACAATGTTTTAAAAAGTTTCACATCATCGGCATACATTAAAATTTTTGAATGTTTTATTATAGAAGAAATATCATTAATGAATATCAGGAACAGAATCGGACCAAGGTGGCTTCCCTGAGGAACTCCTGAAGAAACTTTAATGATGTTGGAAGAACAATTATTAACAATAACTCTTTGTGTTCTATCAGAGAGGTAAGATGAGATCCATTGAAGAAGACTGGGCTGAAAGCCGATTAGGTCGAGTTTACGGATGAGTAACGAGTGACATACTTTGTCAAAAGCTTTACTGAAATCGGTGTAAATTACGTCGGTATGAGCATTTTCTCTAAAACCGTTTGAGACATGAGTTGTAAACTCCAATAAATTAGTCATAGTAGATTTTCCTTTAGAAAACCCGTGTTGAGATTGTGTAATTGAAGAAGATATAGAATATGTCAGCTGGTTAACAATAATTGCTTCGAATAATTTGGGGATAGCGGAGAGTTTCGCTATGCCTCGATAGTTTTCTATAGACGACCTGCTGCCGTTTTTGTGAAGTGGTATTATGAAAGACTCCTTCCAGGCTGACGGAAAAACGCCATGTTTAAGTGACAAATTGAATAGAGTTGTTAAAGGCTCGCAGATGTTCTCAGCGCAGTTTTTAAGAAAACAGGTCGGAATATGATCAGGTCCAGGCCTAAATGACGCTTTTAAGGTTTTTAAAGAGTGTAAAACTTCATCGGAAGATATTACTGGAATATAAGCAGAGTTGATTGGACAAAGCTCGTACGGATAGTCTCCACTTATAGGGAAGTCTACAGAATAATTGGACCTAAAGAACCGAGCAAACATGTTGGCAATGAGTTGGTTGTCGCTAGATACAGTGTTGCGATAATGCATAGCGGACGGAAAACCATGTGCCTTACGCTTTGAATTTATGAAACCATAAAACGATTTAGGATTGTTAATTAAATTCTTCTTAATTTTACATAAATATGAATTATAACATTTCTTATTTAATGCAAAGTAGCTATGCCGCAAAACTGAGTACCTTAGGTAATCACTGTGTAAGCCCGTTCTTTTATACAGTTTAAAAGAGTGCGACTTTTTATTTTTCAATTTTTTGAGCTCTTTAGTGAACCATAATTGTATTGGTTCTTCATGGACAATATTACGTATTGGCACATACTTTCGAAACAAATTGAAAACAGTATCATTAAAGTGCTCAAAGCTACGCTCCACGTCATCTCTATATATTGGCCAAGATAACTTTGAAAGTTCTTTGTTAATTTTCCTGAAATTTGCTTTCGCAAAAACATATCTAGTACTTGAACTTGACTTATTATTATGTATTTCATTTATGATTTCGTAGCTTAACTCAAGAGCAGGATGGTATGCATCTTCCGGCAAAACTAGGGGATCACACCGATTAATAGAGGCCTTCGGAACATCATCAACGTAAACGAGATCCAAGACCTTTCCAAACTTATTTGGACATATATTTATTTGTTTGAGGCAAAGTTCAGCCATTTCCTCCAGAAATACATTGTAACTATCTCTATATGAAACTGGTACAACATCGGTGTCAATGATGTTCCATGAAATATGTGGCAGATTTAAATCGCCCAAAACAATCATAGAATCGGATGCCGTAAGCATTGCATTTACGGTCTCAAGTAAAGAAACTAGCTGCATATATACCGATACGGCAGAATTAGGAGGGATGTAGCAAAGAGCTAAATAAATATAAGTCTTTCCAGCCTGTACACGTATACATTTAAATTCGGTATATTCAATGACAGGAAGACTAACTTCCTCGGATGGTATCGATGAATGCACATCTTTAGTTCTAATTTTAGTCGATATGTATGACTTTATATCATCCGAAGAAGTATCTTTAGCAAATCTAGAGACAAAGATTGATCTTCTCGGAGGAATTACAACCAACTTTTTGGTAATGATGTCTGATGAGCGGGGCTCCGAATTATTCGGAGGAACTAAGTTAGACAGTGGAGTTTGAGATGTTGATGGCAACACTGTTAAATCAACTGTTTGACTATTTTTAGAAGTAGACCTAGTGGATATGGCTTTAGAAATCGGAGGCTCCAATGCCTGAGGGCATGGAGAAGATAAATTAATAAGTTCTAAGGACTGGGATGGAGGATTTTTTTTTACTAGAATCCGTGGCTGTCTTTTTAGGTGGACTAATAACATGCCCACCTTTATTTTCTCGGCTATCCTCAGAGTGTGGAGGGTCGTCGAGACAAGTGAAAGACCTAAAGAAAAGGAACAGGCAGCACCAAGGGTTGTGCGTATCCTTTCTGCAACAATATAGTGGTCCGAGTCGATGTTTGGCCCTCAGAATTTGCGTACGTCTAAAACATTGGAAGCATGCCTTTCGCATGTCACCACATGTCAAAAGACAACCACGTGGCTTGACGGAGCTTTTAATGCTGAAACGTAGCACTCCACACTCGTTTTCAGGCCTTTTTCTGATCTGGGTTGTAGCGAGACCGTCGTCGACTAGGGTGAACGACCGTATTCGGCGACGACTCTCACTCGAAGTCTTTTATACGTTTGCCATGGTCATCCGAGGCTGGGTCTAAAGCCCACCGCTCAACCCAACACTGGGGGTGTGACTTTTCAGACTAGCTCGCTTCCTGATGGGCGTTCAGTTTCTACCCAGACGATACTTCAGTAGAATGATTTTTAGCCAGGTGCGGTACCAAAGAACCTCATTTCATAAGTGACCATTCAAACTACGCAGAAATACCTTAGTTTTCTGGATCAGAAGTCTCAGTGCTCTTCTATTAGTGGTACTTTAGCTACACCAGTTCAAAATTGCTAGTGGAAACACGGTTATGCGTTCTAGGGTT